AGGGCTAACAAAGTAACAGAATTTCTCTTGTATTAGTAAGCAGACAAATTGTGTAGAAAACATGGGATAGTGTGTGGTGTTCAAATTACAGATGTCAGAAACACTGTACGTGTTTGGACATTTCTGCGATTAAAATAAGGTTCCAATATGCTGGGGGTTGTAAACAGTCCTGGACAAAAGATTACATCTATTTCTACAGCTAAATGAAGAAATCTCTAGTTCTGAATGCACACCTGCCCATGTAATTATAGTATGCTGTATTCACATTCAGTTTAGGCTGATGCTTCGATGCATTATTCATATAGCACCAACATAGTCTGCAGTGTTGTACAATTCTCCAATAAAAAATAAAAAAAAGTGTAAGTAGGCTGCAAATAATCTTATATTCTCAAGCACTGTGTATACACAGTCTTAACTTTGCAAAGTTAGCAGTAGATTGTTAGCGCTTCAAGACACATTTGTCCCATATTCATATTGTTGCACCAAAGTAAAAAAAAAAAAATTCTCATTGCAATAACTGCACAGCAAGAATATGCAACAGAAGAAAAGTATACTTGCTTTATTTATCAATGACAGCTAACGCTGGCACCTTAGATGATTACAGTATCCATGATGTTTAGTAATATAGTTCAGAAACATCTGGGATGCCAAGGTATGTAAACACTGCCATTTATCCAGAACCCTCTTCTATATTTACTTGCGTCCTGCCAAATAACATTGTGGCACATTTTGATCATCTAAAAGATATGTGAAGTCTGTATATTTTATAGAATCCTGCCACTGCTGTAGAACAAATTAACCCCAAGCCAATATACAGGCTTTAACATATTAAAATGTTATTGCTACACATCAAGAAACAGAATTAGGTAATTTCATATTCCAATGTGCATTATTAATGTATGAGATTATATTGCAGCATTATTACAACATTCATTCACAAGTTTAATATATGACACTGAAATACTTAACTACCCATATAGTTATATCATTTAGTATTTCAGCAGAATTGTATGCCTGTGTTAAATGCTAATCAATTAAGCCCATCACCTTTTTTCTAAAAACAATCAAAAAATTTAAAAAAATAAAATTAAAATAAAAAACCACACACACTTTTGCCCCCACAAACATTAAAAATAATTAGCACTAATCTATAAACCTTTTCTGGGCTGTTGGAGTTAAAAGTTCAGCCAAGCCAAGATGACTGAAGGCTCTGTCATTGGAGAGGAACAAATGCTTCTCATTAGTCACATACTTCTCAGACATAAATAAATGATGACATAAACAAAACAAAGAAAAGGTGAAGAGAGAAGCAGGAGACTTGGGAGGAATACACTCCAGTGAAAGAGAAGGCATATTGTGAATTATAAAAGAAAGGATGTCCACTGGTACAGACTTATTCAGAGTAACAGTAGGAGGTCTGTTTTCACAACTTATACACAATGAGTTTCGGACTTTTTAATTTATGGTTACAGAATGGTGTCTCCATGTAAACAGGTATGGCTATGGCTTTTATGGCCAGTTGAGCCTAGGTGGGCTAATGATTGATCTCTTTCTAATCATGTCTGGAGGTCCAGCATTGCGACTTGCGTAATTCTGGGGTAAAGGTCTTGTTTATAGTCTTGCAGGGAGTTTAACTGGATGACTCCCAATTACCATGCCAGCTATGTATATGGACTAAGGCTCACATAATGCTCAGCCAGGCACACGTTGAGTGGGGGCTGAGCAGCGTGAAAGCCTAACTTCACAACAAAAGCTAGAGAGCTAAAAATACTAGGAGTACTTATGTAGAATGGTATTCGCAGGGTCAGTGCAGGATACTTACTGTGTAGGCTGTTGTTATGGTTAGAAGATGTGATGACAGGCAGGGTTACCCTCCAAACAGGAGCATGCTTGCAGGAAGAAGTCAGAGATTGTGTTCCAGTCCCTGCATGGAGTTTAGCTCAGGAACGCAGCCAGCATGCCTGTAATCCAGGGGGAATAAATAGAATTCCTGACAATCTGTGTTCCACCTCTCGAACCCGGGGGATGAAAGTGTTCTATGCCGCTCTGTGTGGGGTTACACGCAGTCAGGCAGTGCCAGGGGGAGAGGGAGTCCTGGGCGAGGTGTCAGTAAGCATCCTGTGCCAGCAACAGGAGAGACCCACGGTACTCACTGCCAGCCTCGCGAGCCGCATATGGGCTCTTTAATGTGTACCCTGCGACTTTCTCCCTTCCTGTTCCACAGGCCGGCCCACCGCGGGAGCGCGCATGCGGGAGCACGACTCCGCTGCCAAGAGCGCATGTGCGAGGGAGGGGGCGGCGCCGCTGTGAGCACGGGGGGAGGAGGGGCGTGTGGTGTATCAGAACGTAGCGAGCCAGACTGGGAGCAGGTAGTGAGTGGTGCTGGTACTCCGGGGGCAGGCAGTGAGTGGTGCTGGTACACTGGGGGCAGGCAGCGAGTGGTGCTGGTACTCCGGGGGCAGGCAGTGAGTGGTGCTGGTACTCCGGGGGCAGGCAGCGAGTGGTGCTGGTACTCCGGGGGCAGGCAGCGAGTGGTGCTGGTACTCCGGGGGCAGGTAGTGAGTGGTGCTGGTACTCCGGGGGCAGGTAGCGAGTGGTGCTGGTACACTGGGGGCAGGCAGTGAGTGGTGCTGGTACTCTGGGGGCAGGTAGTGAGTGGTGCTGGTACTCCGGGGGCAGGTAGTGAGTGGTGCTGGTACTCCGGGGGCAGGTAGCGAGTGGTGCTGGTACACTGGGGGCAGGCAGTGAGTGGTGCTGGTACTCTGGTTGCAGGTAGTGAGTGGTGCTGGTACACTGGGAGCATGTAGTGAGTGGTGCTGGTACACTGGGAGCATGTAGTGAGTGGTGCTGGTACTCTGGTTGCAGGTAGTGAGTGGTGCTGGTACTCTGGGGGCAGGTAGCGAGTGGTGCTGGTACACTGGGGGCAGGCAGTGAGTGGTGCTGGTACTCCGGGGGCAGGTAGTGAGTGGTGCTGGTACTCCGGGGGCAGGCAGTGAGTGGTGCTGGTACTCTGGTTGCAGGTAGTGAGTGGTGCTGGTACTCTGGTTGCAGGTAGTGAGTGGTGCTGGTACTCTGGTTGCAGGTAGTGAGTGGTGCTGGTACACTGGGAGCATGTAGTGAGTGGTGCTGGTACTCTGGTTGCAGGTAGTGAGTGGTGCTGGTACTCTGGTTGCAGGTAGTGAGTGGTGCTGGTACTCTGGTTGCAGGTAGTGAGTGGTGCTGGTACTCTGGTTGCAGGTAGTGAGTGGTGCTGGTACTCTGGGGGCAGGTAGTGAGTGGTGCTGGTACTCTGGTTGCAGGTACTGAGTGGTGCTGGTACACTGGGAGCATGTAGTGAGTGGTGCTGGTACTCTGGGGGCAGGTAGCGAGTGGTGCTGGTACTCTGGGGGCAGGTAGCGAGTGGTGCTGGTACTCCGGGGGCAGGTAGCGAGTGGTGCTGGTACACTGGGGGCAGGCAGCGAGTGGTGCTGGTACTCCGGGGGCAGGTAGTTAGTGGTGCTGGTACTCTGGGAGCATGTAGTGAGTGGTGCTGGTACTCTGGGTGCAGGTAGTGAGTGGTGCTGGTACTCTGGTTGCAGGTAGTGAGTGGTGCTGGTACTCTGGTTGCAGGTAGTGAGTGGTGCTGGTACTCTGGTTGCAGGTAGTGAGTGGTGCTGGTACTCTGGTTGCAGGTAGTGAGTGGTGCTGGTACTCTGGGGGCAGGTAGTGAGTGGTGCTGGTACTCTGGTTGCAGGTACTGAGTGGTGCTGGTACACTGGGAGCATGTAGTGAGTGGTGCTGGTACTCTGGGGGCAGGTAGCGAGTGGTGCTGGTACTCTGGTTGCAGGTAGTGAGTGGTGCTGGTACTCTGGTTGCAGGTAGTGAGTGGTGCTGGTACTCTGGTTGCAGGTACTGAGTGGTGCTGGTACACTGGGAGCATGTAGTGAGTGGTGCTGGTACTCTAGTTGCAGGTACTGAGTGGTGCTGGTACTCTGGGGGCAGGCAGTGAGTGGTGCTGGTACTCTGGGGGCAGGCAGTGAGTGGTGCTGGTATTCTGGGGGCAGGCAGTGAGTGGTGCTGGTACTCTGGGGGCAGGCAGTGAGTGGTGCTGGTACACTGGGGGAAGGTTGTGAGTAGTGCTAGGGTAGCGGGGGCAAGTACTGTGTGGTGCTTGTGGTAAATAGAAAATTTCTGTGGTGCTGGGACACCGGGGGTAGATAGTGTATAGCAGCCAATCTCTTGTAGATCTAAAAAAGATTCCCAAGTACCAATATCTCAGGAAAGTAATTTCTATTACTTTAAATTACTAATAAAATGTGTGAACACTTTAATCCCATATTATTATTTATAAAGCACCAAATTCCATAGCGCTGTTCAATATTGGAGAGCAAGCCTCAATAAAATAATTTTTTTAAATAAATTTGACATAATGTGAATATTGTTTATGTAAGGAGCAGTGTATAAACTATTAATCTGAATTATAAAAGTCACAAAATGACAATATAATGCACACTTAAAGGGACACTCTGGGCACCAAAACAACTTTATCTAAATGGGAGGCACTCTAACCTCAAAGGGTTAAACTGTTCTCGAACAGTTTGACCCCAAAGTTGCCTCCAAAACTGATCTCAGCTCCCCCAGGCGATATCCAGCTTATGAATTTTCAGATTCAGAAAAAGCGGAGTGCTGCAGGGCAGGGGCTCCACTGGTTGGCTGAGAGTGGTCAGCTGAGTTTCCTTACCAGCTAGGTTAGTGAATAGGGGGTCACTAATTGGCTAAGTCAATGAAGTTGTTTTGATGCCTGTTGTGTCCCTTTAATAGTTACAGACTATTTCGGATTAGCTCTCTTTATCCTCCTGTCGTTACTAGTATGTTAAAAAACCTTTGCTTAATCATTTCTCTGGCGAACAGAACCTCGCCAGAGTCTTGTGGATAAGCCTGATTGCCAGCCTCCTGCTCCAGGACTATGGCCCCTGTGATAAACCTTGGTTAAAGGCACTGTTCGTGCCCTTTGGACTTATATGGTTCGGTATACAGAGCTTACCGAACGGATTAGAAGTTTGTGTTCATATACCGAACAGTCGGACCACCCGCAAGTTGAGTGAGCAGCCCATTAACCTCCCTGACTTATGTTTAACCGCAACTTAATTGGTGATCGGCTGGGTGGTCACTGTTCATATGTGCGAACATGTGAACGCAGCCATCTTTAGCCGCGAACACATAAAGTGGTGTTTGGTCGTCCCGTGCATGGAACTCAAATCGGACACTCAACGGCGCTAACACCGCTAGAACTTTCCTTCCATCGAAGTTCGGTTAAACGTATGGCAATTAAAAGGCGTTTTGTGAGAGCAAGCCCATGAACGGGAGACATAGAGTGTGCCTACCCACGACCCGCTACGTTCGGTACTTTTACTGTATTGTAAACTCTTGAAAGAGACAGACTGCACAGCCTGATTTCATGGACCTCTTTTGGGCAGGAGCCCCGTGTGCGGTCGGTCAAATTATGACTTCCGTCGAAATCCAGAACCCCTGATCCGATCTGGGTGATTTTTGGATATGTTGGTCCCCCAGATCTGGGCTATCAGGGGATGTGAGGGTTTTTTTGTGGGGTTTCCATGCAGTTTAGGGGTACTTTCGATTGTTAAAATGTGTGTTTTCTGTGCCCGGAGTTAATTGAGTTTAGTACAGTTCCTGACTCAATTATCTCTCAGGCACAGGTGAGGGATTATGTTGTTTTGTGTGGGAGTGTCCTGGATCTGAGAGCCAATGTAATCGTGTGTGTGTTTTTACTGTAGTCTACTCTCAGGTCCAGGGGGGAGTGCGCCTTGCACGAGTACCCGCATATAAGGCCAGTTGTGGTTACCAATAAACAAATTTCTGCTTCTCTCATGTGTGGGGGGGAACGGCTGTATTACTCTGGAGATTGCTATATCACTATACTCCATTGGGATTATAATCACTTGCTCTTTTAAGAGCATATTGCTACACTCTCTTGGAGGAGAGGTCTACCCACTGGAAGCTGGATCCTGGTCTTGGGTCCAAGGTGGGTGGAGGACAGTGAGACCCTAGCCAAACTGTAACGCTGGAAGTGGGGACTACAGTGTTGATGGTGTCTGGTGAAGTGCTTAGAGCACTCGAGCACCAGGAAGCATCAATTGGCGGAGGCACCCAGTCGGGGTGCCAGGTGGTCCGTCACAATTGTATTATTATTTAATAATAGAACATATTATTGCAGGCGGCGACGGAATGACATGACCACGTGACCTGACCATGCATCCGGAGGCGGGGTTTAGGGGGTTCATGGACCGGCGGCCGAATACAACCACGAGATAGTGGCGTCTAACTGAGGGGATCACGGTAAGAGATTTTCAACCCACAAATAGAAGTTCTCTGCAGGACAATAGGTTTCCACCTGACCAAACAAAGAAGGAGAGACGGAGGAGACTTACATAGACAAAACCTGAAATTCTGGAACCCATTCTGTGATGGAAAAAGGGGAGAAGACTGCAAATAAAAGCAAGTACAAGCATTAATGCCATGTATGTTTTTAGGGCAAATATGGTAGGAGATCAGAGTTAACTACTAGAAGCCTGTTACAAAGCAATAAATTCATGGGTTTATGCAAAATACGGAAGACATTTGTTCAAATGAAAGCTTGGCAGTTTGCCGATGCTGAAAAAAAGGCTATGAAAATTTCAGCAAACAACAAGTATATATAACAAGCATACAAGTGTTTAGAAAGAAAGAAAAATATAAAGGAGGAAAAAAAAAAAAGAAAAAACTCTTCTCTGTGGTTTAAGGGTTTACCAAACTGTTCAATATTTTGTCTAATAAACTGTTAAATACACACGAGCAGAAATTTTAAACCCTTGTCTATAAATAACAGATAAAGAAAAAGGGAGAAAAAAAAAAAGGGGGCCATTGAACTAAGCTGTGGAAATGTCTATGGCAAAAACAAAATAAAAATAACTAAAAAAAGATAACAAACATATGTCCTATTGTGTTTTACACCCCACCTCCTATAGACTGTAAGCTTGTTTGAGCAGGGTCCTCTTCAACCTATCGTTCCTGTAAGTTTTCTTGTAATTGTCCTATTGATAGTTAAATCCCCCCTCTCATAATATTGTAAAGCACTACTGAATCTTTTTTTCTCCCCTCAAAATAAACAGGGTGTAGAAAATTCTTATGCAGAAGAATCTATATTGGAAGAGAGAAGAAATTCTATGTCTACGTCTAACCTGCAAGATTTTATTAAAACAAATTTGGAAAGTCAAACAGAGACATTTAAAAAATAACTAGATACAAACCAAGCAAAACAGCAAATAGAAGAACTTGGTATGAAAATAATCAAAATAGAGGAAAATCAAGAAAGAATCGTATCTCAATATAAAGTAGTCTCTGAGGAACAGAAAAGAAGATGGACCTGAACAATTTAGAAATCCGATTAAATCAACTGGAGGACAGACAGAGGATGAAAAATATAAGAATAAAAATATATAATCCTGAGGACGTTACTTATGAGAGAATAAGAGAATTTTTAAATTAACTGTTTGCAATGTTAAACATCCAACTCCCAAATCAAGAACTGATCATAGAGAACACATACCGGGTGAGAAAACCGCAAAACATACCAGAATCATGTCCCAGAGATACTTAAACAACAAATCATCCAAGCAAGCAGAAGTATGAAGTTAACAGAAGAACGATTTAAAGATATCTCAATTTACCAAGACCTCTCAAGAACAACAATACTAGATAAAAAAAAAAAAAAACTAAAGAAAATAAAAAGTTAGTAAACAATTAAAGAAACAATCTAATACCTTATGAAATATCATGCAAGAAAATAATTTAATGGACATATGGCGAGTATACCACCCGGTAGAAAAAGAATATACACACCACTCTAGAGTACACCATTCATTGTCCAGAATTGATCTGGTTTTGGGGGAGAACAGTCTAGTTGAAAAAATGCGGAAAATTATAATAAAGCATAATCCATGGGCGGACCACAGTTATAATTTGTTTGACAGAAAAGAGAAAACCTAAACCTCTTAAAACGTGGCGCCTTGATGATAATATTTTGTCTAATATAGAAGACCAAAACCAAATTAGAAAGTTAATAGAACTGTACTTTATTGAAAACAAAACGGAAGGAATGTCTTATGCAACCATCTAGAGTGCCTTTAAAGACGTAGTAAGAGGGTACTTGGTAAAACTCAAAAGCAAATTCCAAAGAGACAAAGGTATCTCAAGGGAAGAATTGTACATAGAGTATTATAAGCTATCTAAAAATAATAAAAAAAAATCTAACCAATGAAAAGATAAAACAATTAGAGGAGATAAAATTAAAATAAATAAGATAGAAATGGAATGTAGTAATAAAAACTTGAATTTCTATCACGACAACAATAAAATAAAAAAATGGCTAACTAATAAACTCAAAGGGAAATCAGGGAAGAATAGGATCGTAAGTATTAAAAAAGAACATATACCCAGAGACTATAGCTAAGATTTTCCCAAGCTTATTATGAAGAACTATATAATATCCCAAATCAACACAAAGAAAATGAAATAAAAAATCTTTGTTTCCTCATTAGCCCAAGCAGCTCAAAGGAGAAGGGCTGCTGGGGACTTTAGTTTAACATTAAAAAGGGTTTAATGCTGAATGGAAGTGTACTTCCAGGGGAATCTAGCCACTGTAACCACTTCAATGAGATAAAGTGCCTACAGTGTTCCTTTAACCTTTTGGTCACAGTCCTAAAATGTGTATACGGCATTAGTTCAGGCACCCATTCTTCAATTGGAAAATTAGTACATTGGTCCATTCTATAAATGCAATATATTAAATATTAAAATATATATTTATAATCCATGACAGCGAGTAAGCTCCACCAGATGACCAATTTGTCTCTATCTACCAACAAGAAATTTTGATAGTTAAAATCAAACAAGAAAGTGTTTCCTACTCGCTTTTGTCTTGTAAATAGAAATGCGTCCACACAGGACTTGGGTTTCAAGGAGACTTCGCGTAAAGAACTGAGTTATTGATCATGACAGATGAAATGCACATAGGTCTTACTTTTTGTTCATCACACCTAGAATTGCAATGTGTAGATGGTACATGGTCCCAGCTAGGTTGTCCTACAATCTATCCAAATACCTGCTGGAGTTGCCGTGCAGATGTTGGAATGATGCTTCTAATAATTATGATCAAATTTTTAGCAAAATGGCAACAAACTTATTATCTTCCATCATATAAGGATTCCTTTTGAACCTCACCCTAAGGTTTGCTTATTATTTATGTTTCCGCGCAAGCTACCGGAATACTTCCTTAAGTAATTTTTTTTCAAACTCTAATTGCAAGTAATATGCTTGTAGCTTGAGCATAGATAACTACAAATATCATTACTGTATGAATGAATTACTTGACCAAATATCTCTCAATGGGTGGTATGGATGTATGGTAGAGTAATCCGAATAAGAATTGTGGGATGCGTTTCTAGCTGAAGTTAATCACAGTGTTACATGAGCAATGCTTGCATACTGATTTACAGATCACTCACATTATAGTGTTATTGCTTGAAATGTCATTTTAACAACAGGAACGGACGGGCTGTATTTCCATTTGCTGTAATGTCCCTTTGATGGGACCATGGTGTTGTACCACCTTCCCTTGACCCCTCTTTGTTTGCGTTACCCAAATTCCTCTACTATTTTATGTTATCCACTGTTTTTTAACATTCATTTGTACTTATGGGTGTGTTAAACATAATCTGTGTATTAACCTAATCTGTCTATGTGGTCTATACCAAGTAATTATTAAAAGTGTCACAATCTTAACAATACCACATTTTTTTGTTATACTACTTTGTTCTTTTTATACTTGTCTGGATGAAAAGTAGTAAAAATTGTCAAATCAAATAATATATATATATATCTTAGAAACAATAATTAGACTCCAAGTGTCAATTTGGTGTTTAAAGGGACACTACAAGCTCCAAAACAACTTAATCAAAATTAAGTTATTATGATGCCTGGAGGCACTCTTACCTCAAGGGGTTAAACCATTCACGAACGGTTTAACTCCAAAGTTGCCTCCACCACCAGTCCCCACTCCCACCTTTATCCACCCACACCGCCAGCGCCTTCCCGCTTCTGCATTTTCAGATTTTTGTTCCTATCTAGTGGTTCCGGCCATTGGGCTGAAACATTGTATAGTTTTTTTTTTGTGTTTTTTTTTTTTTTTTAATAAATTGAACAAATGCATCCTACCTGTTGAACCTGTGGATTTTGTATTGGTTACTAGCTTTTGGAGGTTGTGGGCTTCTACCACAGAGTACCAGGAGGTGCTGAAGTTCTCTTAATTTAGTTTCCCAAGAGTGCCACACCATTTTAGTTTTCTTAAACCTATGTATGTCACACATGTTTTTACTGCAATATACTCCTGGGTCACTTTGTCAATTTACATTCTGCGTTGGCTAATTTTACCCACTCGTTAATTATATGTGTTAAAAATAAAATAGCAAGATCATTTGCAGATGATCGAGAGGTGAAATTGTGGTGAAGAGCAAAATGTAGGGATGTGAAATCAGATATAAGCAAACTAATGGAAAAATAGCCGTAGATTAAATACAAGCCGACTTGTCAAATAAAAGTAATAAAAAGGGAATTTATTGTCAAAAAAGGAAATGAACAAATACATTTATAGATAGAGAACGGCATACAGAGTGGTAAAAATAAAGGATAGTTATAAGATATAAAAATAAAATATAGTCGTACATATGTGAAAAGTAAATAATGAGCAGACCCTAACAAGTAAAGATACAAGGAAATAGAAAAGCACAAAATAATAAATTTGCCCAATGTGAAAAAATGAAGGAATTGGAAAATAGAATGAAAATGAAAGCTGTTGACAGAAAGAACTGTAGAGTAGTTAGATTTTTTTTAATCTTTTCTTGCTTATATAAGGTTACACCTCTTATTGCTGAAATTTTTTCAGTCTTTTATTGACAATTTTTTTTCTCATACTTTCCATTGTTTTTATTTTTTTTTAAATATCCATTTTAGTGAACTGATGAGATGCAGTAATGTATATTGTGTGTTTTGGGAGTTTTTTGTAGGCAGAATTTGGGGTTTAGAATTGTACATTAAAATAAAGCCATAAATGTATTTTTTTCCCCTGAATTTACAAAAAAGAACAGTATATTCAATAATGTATAACTGGACTCTGAACTTTGCCATAAAAACTTTAAGACTCTAAATTTAGTGTTAGTTCACCTTTATAAAGCAGTTAAATTTAGGATGGAAGATACTTTGTTTCCAGTTTAAATCAGAAACTGAAGTAAAACATATTTTATACCTTTGTGCTACGTGCAGTCACATATAAAGTTCAATGTAATTTCTATAAAAGGCAGTTCAAGGATATACAGTTGCAAGAAAAAGTATGTGAACCCTTTGGAATGATATGGATTTCTGCACAAATTGGTCATAAAATGTGATCTGATCATCATCTAAGTCACAACAATAGACAATCACAGTCTGCTTAAACTAATAACACACAAAGAATGAAATGTTGCCATGTTTTTATTGAACACACCATGTAAACATTCACAGTGCAGGTGGAAAAAGTATGTAAACCCCTAGACTAATGACATCTCCAAGAGCTAATTGGAGTGAGATGTCAGCCAACTGGAGTCCAATCAATGAGATGAGATTGGAGGTGTTGGTTACAGCTGCCCTGCCCTATAAAAAACACACACCAGTTCTGGGTTTGCTTTTCACAAGAAGCATTGCCTGATGTGAATGATGCCTCGCACAAAAGAGCTCTCAGAAGACCTACGATTAAGAATTGTTGACTTGCATAAAGCTGGAAAGGGTTATAAAAGTATCTCCAAAAGCCTTGCTGTTCATCAGTCCACGGTAAGACAAATTGTCTATAAATGGAGAAAGTTCAGCACTGCTGCTACTCTCCCTAGGAGTGGCCGTCCTGTAAAGATGACTGCAAGAGCACAGCGCAGACTGCTCAATGAGGTGAAGAAGAATCCTAGAGTGTCAGCTACAGACTTACAAAATTCACTGGCAAATGCTAACATCCCTGTTAGCGAATCTACAATACGTAAAACACTAAACAAGAATGGATTTCATGGGAGGATACCAGAGAGGAAGCCACTGCTGTCCAAACAAAACATTGCTGCACGTTTACAGTTTGCAGAAGAGCACCTGGATGTTCCACAGCAGTACTGGCAAAATATTCTGTGGACAGATGAAACCAAAGTTGAGTTGTTTGGAAGAAACACACAACACTATGTGTGGCGAAAAAAAGGCACAGCACAACAACATCAAAACCTCATCCAAACTGTGAAATATGGTGGTGGGGGCATCATGGTTTGGGGCTGCTCTGCTGCGTCAGGGCCTGGACGGATTGCTATCATCGAAGGAAAAATGAATTCCCAAGTTTATCAAGACATTTTGCAGGATAACTTAAGGCCATCTGTCTACCAGCTGAAGCTCAACAGAAGATGGGTGTTGTAACAGGACAATGACCCAAAGCATAGAAGTAAATCAAAACAGAATGGCTTAAACAGAAGAAAATACGCCTTCTGAAGTGGCCCAGTCAGAGTCCTGACCTCAACCCGATTAAGATGCTGTGGCATGACCTCAAGAAAGCGATTCACACCAGACATCCCAAGAATATTCCTGAACTGAAACAGTTCTGTAAAGAGGAATGGTCAAGAATTAATCCTGACCGTTGTGCACGTCTGATCTGCAACTACAGGAAACGTTTGGTTGAAGTTACTGCTGCCAAAGGAGGTTCAACCAGTTATTAAATCCAAGGGTTCACATACTTTTTCTACCTGCACTGTGAATGCATACATGGTGTGTTCAATAAAAACATGGCAACATTTCATTCTTTGTGTGTTATTAGTTTAAGCAGACTGTGATTGTCTATTGTTGTGACTTAGATGATGATCAGATCACATTTTATGACCAATTTGTGCAGAAATCCATATCATTCCAAAGGGTTCACATACTTTTTCTTGCAACTGTAATTGACTGTACAAAGAAGCTGGCGTGGAAAAATTCACTCCCCAGAATGCAAAAGTCAGTCTGCCTGTCTATCTTTATTAAATGCGTAACAATATAAAAGAAAGGGTGCTATTATAAAATCCCTTTACTTTGTTTTCCAATTTAGGTCGGCAAAACTGGAAATTTATGAAAGTCTTCTGTTTTACAAATTGGTGCAAAATTGTAAAAGTCACCAATGAAATGTGCTTGCTGGTTCCACTGCTGATTGCCCTTTGCTTAGCAACTTAGACCACTTTTTAAAACAGAACACTTTGATAAAGCTCCTCAATGCACATTTAATTTTTTATTTAGGAGGCACCTGTCAAGTTATCACTTCTACTACAGATATCATTTGGCCGAGTCATGAAAATCTATCATTTAAAGAGTTTAAAGCTGAAGATGAAAGTCATCTAACATGCACACACTTCAAATATATCCTTGAATTATAAGGGCAACCGTCGACAACAGCAGGGGCACGTGGCCTCCATTTCGAGTTTCTCTTCAAATATGAAATGTAATGATTCACACCCCTCATAGACAAGATATGGACCTATCCAATCCACCACATCTTCATTGGAATGTGATTGTTCCTTTTAATTAAGTAGTGCATTTCTTTTCAAGCAAAGGTGTTAGAGAAAATCTGAGCAACCACCTCAAAATTGTTTTGACCATGGCTATAGTGATCATCTGGTAAATGTGTCGCAATTAGACTGGCAGTGAATCCTTTAATGAAGACAGCGAACTTCATTGTTTTATTTTTCCTCAAATTGTCTCATCTTAGCCTTTGTGGATCCCTGAACCCTCTGTATTAGAATCCTTGATATCTAGTAGCTCATAAACACCATGATAAATTAATGTACAGAGACATAGAACAATCTCTTTGGGGACCGAGTATCCATATTTTGATGGATTAAACACTCCTCCCCCAAATCCAAGAAGTCTGAGATCAGGCCTGTAACTGAGCCTAGTGTTTTTAAACAAATAACCCTGATGGTCACTTTTGACACATACACTTTTTATTCAGGGCATTTATGTTCCCACCTTCCAGGTGGCTGAGGTAAGTGCCCATAGGCACTATACTAAGCAACCAGATCCTACCTCAACCAGAGGTTCACCATACTCCCTAGTTTGTGAGATTGACTATACATTGAGCTAGATAGCTTTATCCCGTTTTGAAACATAAGCCCAACTACAGATCATGTCAGTTTTAGTAAATATCTACCTATGCATAGTGATACCAAAATGTAAGCAGATGACACGAATGAAAGGCCATCTGATCAATAGTTCCACACAAGGGTGGACTGAGCATTTGGGCAAACTTGTCATGGACCAAGGACCTGAAGCTCTGGGATGCCCAACCATGTCTTCTCCAGTCAAACACGAACACTACATACAAACCCACCACTGTATTAAAAACAAACATTATTTTAAAACATACCCTTTTATTCAAACACCAATACTATACACAAATGCACAACTGCATTCAAAAGCCAACACTACATACATGCACACCATTGCATTCAAACACAAATGCTTTACACCACTGCTTTAAAATGACAACACTATACACAAATACACTCTTACACAGGGGCGTACCTAGAGCATTTG